GACAAAACGTAATGGGAAATAATAGTTTGCAACAAGGTAGCTGAAACATGGTAATAAAACCCGAGACTCAGGAACACAGAAGGGGACGAACACAACACAACGTCTCAACGATTGAGACGTTGTGTTGTGTTCGTCCCCTTCTGTGTTCCTGAGTCTCGGGTTTTATTACCATGAATCATCACCAGCTCGCTTGTTTTTTTAAATATTATTGTAGCTGAAACCATCGTTAGCTTTAATTTCTACCCAAACACCTTCGGAATAAGATTCCAGGTCAAAACGACGGTGTGAAAAAATAGACGCCTCAGTAGCGTCCAAGACGCCACCACCAAGTTTCTGACCGGTCGACTGCTAATCCCTATCTCCGCGATACACTTTAAGATTACGAGCACAATAGTTTGCGTCGGACATGCATTTACACAGCCATGTTTCTGTGAGGCAAAGAAAAAAAACATCAAATTTACTTGAATTAGATTGGACATGCACTCATCGGCATTGATTCTCAAGCCCCTCACGTCTCTTGTGAAGGCGCAAAAATTAGTGGTGAAAGATTTTTCCCTCGGGCCAGTCTTCTTGTTGGTTTAGTGCTGCAAAAACTGCTCCGTCACAGGCCAAATAAACCGATGTGTGCGATGAAATTTAGTTATAATCTTCAAAGATAGAAAAGTGTTTACGTCTAAAAATGGCTCGACAAGGGGCAAGAGCGTTTATCTTGTCGGGTATAGCGGTACCTCACGATAGCTTGGCTCGTCGGTGAGGCTTGGCCAGAACATAGCCGTTGTCTGCCATGTTCCGTGATCTGGGCTAATCCCCGCACACTACAAGATTCTGCATTGGGAAGTTACGTGCACCAGTAGCCACTGCGCTCAATCGTGATGTCAAACGGTCCGGCTGGTCCTCACGGCCAATGAAGGACTTTAGTCGATCGCGCGCGTTCAGGGTTAGTCAAGCTGGCGCAGGAGAGGCGTCAAGCCGGCATCTAGGACCAGCCGCGGCCTGGGCCGCGACAGTAGCGTAAATTGGCTGTGAGGATGGCATTAGCGGAATCCGCTCAACGACGTTCTTGCAGAGCTGTATAACTCCGAGAGAAGCCCAGGGTTTTTTGCCAGGAGGCATAAAAATTCAGCCGTCATGCTTTCAATCTTGTTTGTCAGTTTGTTGATGGCACGCATAAAACTCGCGCAAACAAACGGGCAGGGCATTCTTGGGTTACGGCCGACCTACCCCTCGAGCCGTCCAGGTTGTTGTTGGCGGTGGAACCTAAAGCGCCTGCAGATTTTGGGGATAGGCTCTGCCGTCGAGTGCTGCTGGAACACTTTAAGGTACTTGTTCCCGGTTTTCACGTAAATGTCGTGTTCCTCCAGACCAACAATTCGGCATTTGCAGTAAATTTTGCGGCCAAAATCAGTCGAACAAACAAGATACTGCTGATTAGCATTGAAGCGCGCGGCACACGAGGCGCAGACATGTTTCGTCGGCGCACAGGCAGGAGCGTCATTTTTCGTCTGCGTCATCCTTCGACTGATATTTATTTCAGGTTGCCTATAGGCATCCGAAAACACTGTTGCATATTCTGACAAAGAATTAGCGACCACAAACATCGCAAAAACCCAAAACTAGGGAAAAAAGGATGGCTTACACCAATCGTGTTTTGTGTGTGACGTAAACTTTCCTTTACTTATCGGTACGAGATTTTTATGATGATGAATTTTTACCAGGTCGCATGAATTTTTTTATGTTATGGTTATAACCAGCCATTAAGTCATGAATGCCGCTACACTTAGGCTTGCCGCGACCATTGCAAATAAATGAATTTTCCCGAGATTTCATTGGGAGCAGTGGCTCTTGTGAAGCGCTTTTTTCTCTGTAGTTCGACCCGCGTTCCCCTACCCCATGCGGAGTACCATACAGACACTAAAAAGCTGCCCTTAGAATATCGGATTTTCACTCGCCGACATTCTATTTGGCGCAGGCATGTTGTTGCTTAGTGCAAAGCGGGCAAAACTGGCGACCCTTACCAAGTTATAACCTTTCTAGGTTTAGGCATGAGCTGTCTTGACTGGATTGGACTGAAGTGTATGAAAATTATGATGCAGATGAGGCGTACAGTGTGTTCTTAAATAAACTCCTGCAGCTATATAGGGCATGCTTCCCATATAAATCAGTTGGGCTACCAAGGAAAATTCGTAAGCCATGAGTTACTCCAGAGCTGCAAAGCAAGATAAATAAAAAAAAATATTGTGCTACGCTTTTTGTGGAAACGAGAGAGCCGGAATGTCTTAAGGTTTTTAAGGTCTACCGTAATAAACTTACAAAATAATTAAAGAGTACCAGAGAAAGATATTTCAACAACTTATTTCTATGATCAGCGCAAAGAACGGACATCATGTGGAGGAAGCCTAATAACGTTCTTAATCGTTCATCTCAAATAAAACAAATAGATAAAAGCTGTAAACATGGAACTGACCTAAGAGATCGAGAACTGCCAAAAGTGTTTAATAACTATTTTCGGAACTTGCCACTAGATAACTCAGGAGAAAAAGCCTGTGCTTAAATTGAAAATAAATATGAGTGTTCCATATTTCTTCAGCCAGTTGTGGAAGCCGAGGTGACGCATGCATTCTTAGCACTAAGAAATAGTAAAAGTTGCGACGCTGACGACATGGAAATAGGGCCAACAAAATACGTGTTGGACATCACATCTCCCTGTGTGACGTATACTTTTAATTTGCGTTTGCAAGCCGGGGTTTTCGCGCAGAAAATGCAAATCGCATGAGTATCGGTTTTGTACAAAAAGGGTGACAAAAACGATTTCGGGAATTAGAGGCCTATTTCATTTTATGTGTTTTTTCAAAAGGTTTTGAGAAACTTTTGTTGTCCCGTATGCTAACGTTTGCGGACAAAAGTAATATAATCACTTCATCGCGATTCGGATTTCGTAAAGGCCGGTCTACACAACTGGCCCTTTTGGAAGAAATGAATGTATTTTGCGTAGCTTTGAGAATAAACAGATGACTCTTGCTATTTTCGTTGATTTTACGAAAGCCTTTGATTATTTAAATTATGACTTTCTGATAAAAAAAAAAACCTGAAAGGTACGGATTTCGCGGACCAGCATCAGCTATCATTTCATAATATCTTGCTCATCGTAAACAATATGTTCATATCAACGGGTGCTTTTCAGATATCCAAACTATCATATCCGGCGTTCCACAAGGCAGCATCTTAGGCCCTTTTTTCAATTTATATATTAATGACATTGTCAGCGTAAATAAATATACAAAATATATCAGCTATGCTTACGATACAAGTTTGTTTTTCACAGGTGTTTGCTGTGATGACTTAGAATATAGGGCGAATCAATTTCTGCAGAAGTTTAGTAGTTGGTGTCAAGCTAACGCTTTAAAGATCAATGTGAACAAGACTAAGGCTATTTTGTTTGAACCGAAGAATAAAAATGCAGCTATTACAATATTACAGAAGACATCGTTTTTGAATTTGAGAAAAATAGAAGTTTTGACAAGTTTTAAGACTCTTGGTGTTGTTTTCATGCAACATCTGACTTGGGATGAACATCTAAACCATAACTTGATGAAGCTGTCACGTGTGATTGGCATTATGTATCGTCACCGCTCTAATTTGCCAGAAAATGCTAAATTGTTAATTTAGGACTGGTTATTTCTTTCACATAGACACTACTGTCACCTCGTCTGGGGAAGTACCACAATGGCAAATTTGAACAAGATACTTAGCTACAAAAAAGATGTTGCGAATAATATGTAAAGTTTTTATATGATTAGCCTAGTGAACCTTTGTTCACTAAGTTAAATTTAATGCATATTTACAAAATCTTTAAATATCGGTTATGTCTAAGTTATAGTTCTAAAATAAGAAATAATGTCAATCTTAGTAAACTAGCTAGCATTCTTGTCACTGAAGTTGGCAACATATCACACTTGTAGCCTAGACAACTGGAAAGTCCTCAGTTGTAGAACAGCATGTGGTGAGCAAGTGCTATCCAGCGTGCTTCCAGACCTACTTAATTTCTTTAATACTAATTATATTGATCCTTTAACATCAACAGTAAATTATATCAAAGATTTAGCTTTCTTTTAGTGTGAATTGCATAACACTGACTTAAGTAAATATTCCACTCAATGCCCTCATTTATAAGTTACAGTTATATCCGTTGAGAATGAAATCAGTGAATGAGTATAGTAATACATAGTAGTGCTGCATATCTTGAATCTTGAACCCTTGAATGTCTTGAAGATCTTGAACGCTTGAATTTGACTTTGTCTTTATTTTTTACTAAACTTTCTGTTTAGCAGAGCTAATTTATCTGCTACATTGGAATGCTGTACATTGATTTACTGACCTGCGTATTTTTTTCAGTTTTGTTTGTTTGTTTGCAAAGTGATGCACTTCTTTTGTATCCTGCCGCTGTTTCCAATTGGGGTGTGGGCTCAGGAGTCGTGAAGCTGCACAAATGCGGCTTTTTTCCTCAGTTCCCTTCCATCATGCACTTGTACTGCGAACCGCCCTTATATTTCTGGAGGACAGAAAAGCGTTTCCAGAATATTCAGACAAAGCGTGACGACGTAGCTTGAATCAATAATTTTGAACAAGAAGATGGTCGAAGTGACGCCACTCAGAAGCGTAGTTTATGTAGAGAGTCTATGGCGCCCTAATTTAAAAATTAAAATGGAACTCAACAAAAAGAAATCTCAGAACCAGAGGCTCTATAAAGCAACTGAACTTTCTGACGTCACGCCACTGCGGTGGCGCTGCTGTCGGCACCGCGCATGTGCAGATGCGTCCCTTCGGACGAATCTGGTTTCTGCGCACGCACAATGCCTACTCCCGTCCTGGGCGATTGGGGGCTTGTTTGTAAGCAGTAGGTTGGTCGAGACACTGTAGTCAAAGACCACTGAAGAAACGCAAGTGGTGGCCAGTCCTCTAAAGTCCGCCGTTCCCCGCAGGCGACACCCCTTGGCGGCAAGATGAAGGTAGCGGTGCTCGGAGTGCTGTTGCTGGTGCAGGCCACGCGGGGCTTCCCGGACGGCGCCCCCGTCGGAGCCTGTGACTCCTTCATGCCCAGGCACGGCACAACGGCCGCGCTGCCCAACCCGACGTCGCCTTACGCTGTCGTCCAGTCCAAAGCACACTACGCGCCGGGAGACATCGTCACAGGTACGGCCACATACGTTGCACGTACGCCGTTATTGGTGTGACCGCGTCCCTTTCGCCGTTATTAGCAACTCTTCGTACATTGACGGACGATGATGAAAGTGCCCGCGATATGTTCAAACGTGGCTATTGATTCCCGCACATGGTAATACTTTGTCTCAAATGCTCCTAAACAAGAAATAATCCATGGACACGTGACGAGAGAAACAGCGGGAGGAATGCTAGAGAAAAAAAAGCCCGTACCAGGTGCCACAACGCGTGTGCTTCGAGAACACCATGGATTCAATACACGTGAAACCCACGTGCTACCCATGCTAGAGTGGCACGTGGAAGGTTGATACGGTGGTTTGAATGGCATGGACGAGCGTGGGTAGGGCGACGGGATTCGTCGGCGTGGGGACGGTCTGGAAGAAGTGAAGCGAGGACGGGCAGGGGGAGTCTAGCTGGTATACCTATGTTCATAGGGTCATGGAGTTTATGCTGGCCGGCGGTGGTAGTCGGAGCGAGGTGTGTACAGGTACTCCTGATTCCCTTGATCCTCAGCAATTCGATGGTTGCAAAATCGAGCTATATCGCTGCGAATACCACAGTGAACACAAGCGTGGCGCCGAATGACTGGAAACCACTGATCGGCACCGGATTTGGGCTTGTGGTATTCGGTATAATGGGCTGGAAAAGGACGGCTGGTAAGAGCCACGTGGTTCTGGTAGTGGTTGCAAGATCGGATAAGCTCGAAAACGAGAGATCATGGTAATAGAAGGGGCCTGTGGAGTGGCTGAGGATAGCTCCTCCGTTGTGACATTGCGCAAATATAGGCGGGTTGTGTTCTCGATGGAATTGCTGAACGCGGTAGGATGATCGGGAAACATAAGGCGCAGCTGACCACGAATGATGTTTCGGACGGGGGTTTAGACGCCGTTGGTGATGAAAACTTGGGCTGAAGGTGCCATGAGGGTAATGATGGTGTCGACCGCTGCTACCGCCGGGATGCGAGCGCGCTTGATCTCATTGAGACAATGGCATGCCTCGGTAATAAAGATTATTGTCATCGCACTCCGGACAATTATATATTTATAGCCGTCCTCTGATACGCCCCTAATATATGTTTGACTTCGTCGGCCGCTCTCATATTGATGTTGGCCAGTGTGCAGAGCGCCAGTATGTCTTCAATGGATGTACTGTCATTTTTGTTTCTTCGGGACCTTGTGCTCGGTCGTCGAGGCGTCCCTTGAGCAGTTGTCTTTCTTGTGCCGAGGTTTCGAACACGTCAGAAATTTATCCTGAAAGCGGTCTCACGATGCGAAGACATTTTCGTTGTTGTAATGTCAAGTCGGTGTCCGGTGTAACGATATTCAATTGGAATGTTTTTCACTCTACACGAGCTTACTGGTACACCTGGGACTCAAGGATACCCACACGTAACGCCACTGGCCAAGAACCTCCTTTGTTGCGGTGTAATTTCAAGGACAAAAGCAATCATTTTCATTCAATCTCTCTTTTGCGAAATTTGATGACGTAACGTGAGGATCGCAGTACACCCAAGTGACGATATTTGAATGCGGTTCATAGATTGAACCCGAGCATTGCGTGGGAACTCGACTTGGGCTCGTCATAATTGCTAGCTCGAAAAGCATTCGGGTAGTGACCCGTGTCCAATCGCTGCAACGACGACAACAGCCGAGCCATAACAATGTCTGGAACTCAGCGCGTGCCCTGCACTTTGCCAACCCCAGCGCGTGGCTATGATCAACACTGGCGGCATATAATCGGCTCCAGATCACGTGGTCGCTTGTTCTGGCTGTGAGGTGAGGGAGTGAACGCTGCTCGTTTTTCTTAAATTTTTTTCTGGGACTTCTATTGCGTGGGGTGAAGAACGAACGCGTGTTTCATAGGTCATTAACGTTAGGGATCCGCTTTTAGCGGTATTTGTGCAAAGTACAAGAATTGTTGCATCGCTCCTTTAAGATATAAATTGACGTTTGCATGCGTGATGTAGGCGTCCTATCGGTTGTGGGCACTCACTCTGTCACAGTCGGAGTCATTTAATAGCATCCTGACCCTCAGAGTCCGGAAACAGGGGAGGGTCCTGCTGGCGGATGGTAACGATTAGGGTCCGCATTGTTACAAAGCTTTGCGAGAAGTGCTCTAATTGCTGGCACGATCGGAGTTGCGTGTTAATGTGGAGGACCTGCAGCCGAAGTTGTAGCTCCTCCATCAGGTAATACGAGATATTGAGACAAGGCACACATATGTCTGTTGGAGTGTGTTTAATTTTATTGACTGCTCCCGCTTCTTCCTCCTTTGTACGTAATTGTTCACTGTTCCATAAACTAAACATAACAATATGAATTTGCCCTAAATGTTCTGAGGTTATCCACGGCTTTCGAATTCTTTTTGGTGGGTTTGTTTTACAAGTTCTATGAGAACTTGTAAAACAAACTTGCACACACCATTCTATGAGGTGTGTGCCCAATGTTGCCCTTGGAAGCAAATGTCCGCGCAGTACTGAAATAAACGTCCCTAGGAAGCGTTGTTAAGTTTTCTGAAAAATGCCTTCGTAATTATGCGTTTTAATTTTTTTTTATTCTTTTTTAATGTTAATGTTATGATGATCAGGTTAATTTGATGTATCCCCCTTTGTAGTGCCTCACATAAAGGGTCTTAAGGTAATAAAATGAAACAAAATGAAATAATAGTGGCTCAGCACCCGCTCGGTGGCAATTGTCATTAGCGTTTGCAAAACAATGCTTGGTAGTGGTTGTAAAAAAAGAGGAGCCAGAATTTTTTCGAATGGTTTTAGGTGGGGCAAGCTATGATTCTCAAAGGTGTAATACCATTTCACTCCTCTGGGAAAGGTTTACAATACACTCATACTATTGCAAAACGAGTGGAAAATTACACTTTTGGAAAAACTACCTCGAAGTTTAATCTTGAAATGGACACTCAAAGTGTCAGTTTTTAGCATGTTTATTGGTGAAAATTATTGAATGTGTGTAAGGTTTGCTTGTGTACATCAACAGCGAAAAAGGAAATGTTGAAATTATAGTCGGTAATATTAGCTTCATAAATTCGATTTAAGAAAAAATATATATAAATCACCGTGAATACGACAATAGCATGAAAATAAATGAAGACCATAAAAGCTGTAGATTAGTAAACGTTTGATCTCCTTTGGAAAACAAACCTATGAATTTAGCGTCCTACGGGTCGAAGCGCCTCAATAGTTCTAGATTACATAATTACTGAGCTAGAGAGGTTGGATATCAGTTACCGAGTGCTGAGTCATGCGCTGTGTAAACGGCCAGCCTGAAGGTATGTTCAGCATAAACCCTCGTGCAATCGGCGAACCACTCCGCACACTTGGGTCAGGACCACGTGCCACGCGAGGAGGTTCGCGAACTGATTAGCCGCCCACTATAAGGTCCCTTTGTTATAGGTATGCATAGAGGCGTAAGAAGCCAATGACTTCACAGGAGTGGCGTTCTCCGGCTACGCACTCTAAAGAAAGTCTGTGCGTCTTCTTTCACGCACACCAGTCGGAGAGCCAACCAGCGCAAGTTACGGGGGCAGCTCAGCGAATGATGATGCCGAAACATATGTTTAGACCAAAAAACGCAGTCTGAGTTTTGACATTGAGCAATGCAAAACGTCACGCTTGCGTTGCTTAATGTCACAACTCAGTCTGCGTTTTTTGGTCTAAACAGATGTTTCGGCATCGTCATTCGCTGTGCTGCCTCCGTAAGTTGCGCTGGTTGGCTCTCCGAGTAGTGTGCGTGAAAGTAGACGCACATACTTTTTTTAGAGTGCACACGTTCGTACGTTACGCTGGAGGCGAAAGGAACCACGCCCGAAGGCCGGTTGCCTGATTAGCGGCTATCAACATCCGGCTATTCGGCCTCGCTGTGTGTGAGAGGGATGACCTATTTTAAATCATTGGCGAATTGATCAGCGCTATCGAACGTAGCAACGCCGGATCGCTGGATGTTGATAGACGTTAATTCAGAACCGACGGGCGCCCTGCTCGGGTGGTTTCTCTTGCCTACAGCATGGGCGTCAAGCGCGTGTAGCTCCACTCCACACGCTCCTGTGGCTTCGTTGGTTCTGTCCAGCCGAACGCCAGGATTTGATCTAGCAAATCGAACAGCGGCACAAGTTCGTCATCACGGCGCTCTTCGCAATTATCCATCTCCTACAACACTCTAAAAACAAATGCTTGCGCGTCTACTTATTTGCAAAACACTCAAAGAGGCAATCTCTGCGATCTACTGAATGAGCTCAGCGAATAATGAGGCGGAAAATACGTTATAAGGACTTTAGAGCTAAAAATGAAGTCTGCGCTGTGACAGTACGCAATGAAAAGCGTCATGCTTGCATTGCCTAATGACGCAGTGCGGACTTAGTTTTAGGCTCTAAACAGATGTTCCGCCTCACCATTCCCTGAGCTGATTGCGTAGATCGCAGATAGTGGCTCTTCGAGTGTATTGCGAGTAAGTAGTCACGCAGCCATCCCTTAGAGTGCAGGGACTAAATTACTCACGCACACTAGATGCACCGCGTTTATTTGGGCGTGATTGACCTAACCGGTGATAACAAACCGACAAAGAAAACGAGCGCGCCGTGACGAGGCACTTTTTGCGCAATTTGATTGTCTCCATCAGATCAGTGCGTTGGCTGCGGTCGGACTTCATGTGAAACAAAATAGGGGCTAATTTCGCCATTTGTATTTAGTGGAAAGTTGAAGTAGACTGCGCGTACATTCCGATAAGAGTCCTTAGTATTGCACCATCGCCCACACGCGGGATTGTCTAGTGCTTCAGGGAAACAACGATGTCCTCCAATTTATTCTCATTTTATTGGGACTACAAAAAGAAACTGGGGAAGGTGTAAGCGTGTTACTGGCATGGTGAATGTATGCTATCGGCTGCCTTACATTTGTACATATGACATTCTGTTAGTATTTCGTTACACGTTTTCAATCCTCTGACATAATTTAGATCACACGCTCGCATTATTCTTTAATTAGGTCTCTTAGAAGCAAAATATACATCTAGAAGTATTCCCGTTTTCATCGCACTATATTCAGCTGGAATCAACTACCTCAAGAGATATAGTCTCAACAAATGTAAACTCTCAATTCTATCATGCAATATCAAATATTAAATACTTGTTTCTTCTACAAGCTTACACATTGCATATACCTAGGGGTCCATTATCTTTACGCTACTCCAGGTATCTCCTCTTTTGTTTCTGTTTATTATTATTTCACTCTGATTACCTTTGGGTACGGCACCTGTTTTGAATGTATACACAACTCAGTGTACTTCGGGTCAAGTTCAATTTGTATTTTCCCCTCTCCTGCTATCTGGACCTCACGGTCGCTGTGGGGTTATCAGAATAAATAAATTAATAAATGAATTGTTTTACGCTTTGGTAAGCGCCACAATATCACCACCAGAATGAGGTGCCAGGCGTGTAGACCCCAGAATAGGTCTCCTAACGTTTACTATAAATACATGTTGGTTTTTCCACGTCATTTTTTTTTCGCTCTTTAAAAAAAAAAGTGAATAGGAACTTTGGACAACCTTATTTATTTTTATTTCTCCCTCTATCCACATTCTTAATTTTTCTCATTGTTACACGCTAATCAAAGAATTAGCGTTTATTGTATTTAGATAGCATTGACCATCTGCTGAAACGTTATTGACTATCTTTGTTGAACGATTTTCGAAACGGTAAATATTGGTTGATATTCTTTGTAGACCTGCCAGCGCGCGGCATTTCAAATCACGCACAGAAGAAATAAAATTATCACCCGCCTAACAATTTCACATACCCATGGTATTTGAACCATCACAGTGGCCCATTGTTTAAGGCTAAGTATACCTGTTCCGAGTTGCACTCCTTCCTTGAAATGTAACTGAGTAATACACACGTAAAATTTACATTCCTCGTTAATATTTTGCAGCAACATGAATAAAACTTTGTACATGAAAAATAATGAGCACTCTATTTATATATACGTTTTAAGAAAAGTGTGGAACACAATGCATGCTGTTCAAAGTTAATATAATTAATCTAAGCACCATGTGCACTCTGCGTGATCTTACGCTCTTCGATAACTGTTATCCCCAACAATCACTGTCACCGATAATAACACTTTGGAGAAACGCTTGCACTAGGAAAGCATTTTCCCGAGACAACCGCTCGTGGCGTTTGTATCCCCAACGTCGCGAAAAACGCCCTTGACGTCGAGTATCGCATGACCTGCTCTATGGTTGCAATACTGAGAGGTATTTTGTTGTTCAAAACTACTGTGTTGATTCTAAAGCATGAAAGTATTTGTAACGGAAATTCTTTCTCCAAGGACATTTTCATTCGTGCGTCTGTGCATTCGCGTAAGCCCTATATTACGTCACGCCACGCAACACAAAAAAAAAAAAAAAAACCTAATGCGTCTACTTCCCTGCAAAGCACTAGTGAGAGACAGTCTTTGTAATCTACGATTCGAATTCGGCCAATGACAAGAATGAAAATCTAAATTTACACTTTGCGCCGTGGAACTGAGCATGACGTTTCACCACGTGCGACGTTCAACAGCGCTGTCTGTTTTTTGTTTTTTTTAGGTCGAAACTAGGGTGCCTTCATGAGCGCTTTCCTTAAAATAGAGACATCTGTCCATTTTGTCCCACAATTCGATTTTTCTTTTTTTCTTAAGAAGCGCGTTTGTGCACGCTTTTTTCTTCAGAGTGTGTGCACGCGTTTGTGACGCTGACTGTGCTGTGGCGACATTTTGTTTTCGTCAATTTCTTTGTATTTTACCCGTGGGCGCGTGCTGTCGGCATCGGGCTTTACAGGGGGTGGCATCACCCTAAACAGAAAGACATTGAAGCACCCTAGTCTAAACATATTTACAGCCTCAATGTTCGCCGAGTTTCTCCACAGATTGCAACAATTGTTTCTCTCCAGTGTGCTTTGCGTGAAAGTAGAAGCACTAGATTTTTAGAATGCACCGTGACGTCTCGAGACACCCCTTTGTCACGTGACGTTCTGGTGTCACATGACCCCGGGACTTGACACCATAAACTCACGTGACGTTCAATGTCTTCTAAACAAATGTAAACGTTCGCTCTTTAGTTACGTGCATTCGCAGCATTCGAAGATTCTTAGGAGTAAAGGTCGCTGCCAATTTTCTACTGTTCCTCTTCTCTTGCAGTGACAATCACGACGAGCGGCCCGTCCTTCAAGGGCTTCCTGGTCCAGGGCTTCAACCCACAAACCCGGGAGGTGATCGGGGAGTTTCTGGGCGGTCCCGGGGTGCAACTGGTGCCCCAGTGCTCGTCCATCACGCACGAGAACAGCAGAAACAAGAAGGCGGCCACGCTCAACTGGAAGGCGCCGCACGGCACGTCCGGTCCGGTCATGTTTAGGTACGCGCCAATGTTTAGCCCGAACACCGAAACTGTCCGCGAGCATAAATTTTGAAGGAGGCAGGTGACATAGTTATTGACAATCTGCTCTGTAAAGCCTCGACCCATAAAGAGCGTGGGCTAAACCCCGTAATATTCGTTGATAATCAAGCGAACGTGATGACGTGTTAAAACCAGACTACAGGGAGTCTGGTGCGAAGTTCACGTAGTAGACGCGTTAAGCGTGTATTCCCCTTCGTACAATTAGACTTTGCTTTTTTATTATTTAACAATACATATTTGACCCAACAACTATCTCAAAGCAGAACTCAAGCGGTTAAGTCTGGAAAGAAAATCTGGAAGATTTTATACTCGGTGTCACACCAAGAAAAATATATTATTCACGCGTTACACGCAATAGTTATTACAAGTTTTAGTCAGTACAGTCAGTGCGCAGGCGAGCTGGTGGAAGTTTGTCATGACCTATTTAACCAAGAACTGGGACAGGAGGGGAAAAGATTTGACAGTGGGAAAAAAGAAAAAAAAAAACAAAAAAACAGGGATGTCTTTAAGTGAGCTGAATATTTTAGTTAATCACCACCTCATATACACAAATCCACACCGCAGAACATTCTGTTTCTCAAAGACACGCACAGAACCTACGCCAACACGCACACACAAAAACTACGATGCGCAATATATTTTTTATTTTAGGTTGGACAGCACTTGTGAACTGCATTGATTCTATCAGATGAGTTCACAATATTAGGATACACAATATTTCTAAACGTGGCTCTCAAACCTGCAAGGTTCACACAGAACTCCCCCCCCCCCCCCCCCCCTGACTTGTTCTAAACAGTTAGCGGTGAAGAAAAAACAGTGACAGAAAAGGACGAGAAGATAAAGTACCCCCATACGGAGCGCCCAATCTTAACTGATATATTTTGAAGAAGCAGAAATTAACGTGAAAAACAAACCATAAAATACATGAAATTCTCTGTCCCGGACAAGTGTCAAATCTGATCAAGAATGCAAGCTCTTTATCAAACAACGCGATCGACGCCGTACTGACGCCTCTGTCCTTGTGCTTTGTAAATAAGAAAGCCCCTAACTTTTTTCTAGACAGCTGTTGACCGTTGCGCCATAAAATGTTGGTTTTATCAACTATGGGGTTGCAATCACACCGTTCACAGTATACTGCCATGTTCCGCAATGGCAATGATCTGATCGATAGAGCATGTTCTCTGAACCTCAAGTTAACTCATATGCCATCTTGCTCTATATACACTTTCCCACAGACAGTTTAATTTTGTAAACTCCACCGACGGCACACGGCACATACATTATCCTGTATTTTTTTTTTAGATAAAATCTGCTTGCTGTCAACTTTAGCGCATACAGCCCCCCCCCCCCCCCCCCCCCCCCACACACACACACACCCACACCGAAAGCGCCGAGAAAACCACTGGCACACTGTGACGTTGTGTTCTATTTTTTTGAGGCTGTGCTATACGTTATTTATACATAAAAGATAACCGCTCAGCCTTATATTGTCTCGAAGCTTTTTAACTGGCTTTCCGCCAGTCCTGCCAGTAAGTCATCTGGATAGCCTCCGCCAGTGAGCCTTGTCGCTTGATTAACTATACTAGTGAACAGACGGTGTCAGCATCACTTAACCAACCTCTCCCGCAGTCACCCCACCACGATACCCACTTTATCAGTTTTGAGTAACTGGAGCCAAAAGGAAGTATGCTTTTCTGGATCCTAAGGTTGCAACTCCAGCACGCATGCCCATCCGAAAATTGAAGTTTATTCTCTAAAAGCTGTAACCGTCGATATACTGGGTCGTCTCTCGTAAAGGTCAACCCGCCAGCATGCAGTTTGAACCCTTCCAACCTGATTTTAATAAAACTCGCTCTACTTTGAACATACTCATTTTTGCGGGACTACGGATGTCAAAAGGTAGCAACGTATTTAAACACTGTGATCACGTCACTTCCAAGATTGCCATCAATGTCTCGGTCACAGCTGTAAAGAAAAATGTCGCTCAACACAGGATGAACGCTTGACCCAATACACACTTCTTGCTGCTAGGCACGTGGAATTGAGGTAAAACACAACAGATAACAAAAGGTTTCTACGCTCACACAACGAAACTGCCCCTCCCCGTATGCCTCAATGCCATTTTTTTCCCGACAAATATTTTTTGCTGAGGTATAGAATAAAACAAACTTTCGACATTCAAAGACTCCCAACAACACGTGCATGCCATGAGTACGTAAATAGCGTTTCGCACAACCTCAAAAAGAAAAAAAAAAGAACCGCAACATCATGGTTTTTTTAGCGGTCTCCTTGGCGCCTTCGAAGTTGGGGCGTCTATGCGCCAAAGTTGTCAGTGGGAGAGCTAGCACATTTTTATGTGAAAAAAGAGAAACACAGTGTAATGTACGTGCCGTGTGTTGTAACCGTAAATTAAAGCATTAGACTGTTCTGCGGGAAAGTATACATAGGCAATCCGGCGCATGTGTTAATAGGAGGTTAAGAAAACATGCTCTATTGATCAGATCATCGTTATCCCACTCTAAAAAAGGGGTGTAGCCTTACCCCCTTTTTCGCACCCTTAATCTCTTTTTCACATATAATGCATCCCAAAACTTTACTTCGATGTCCAGCGCACTGACATCAAACTGACGGCCGAACTTTTACCTGGGGCTTGATAACGGTGCGATGTAATTTTAAACATGTAAAGTACTACGTATCAAAGAGTACAGAATAAAAAAGACTGATGTTTTGCAGCAGGACAATAGACCGCGATTACTTTTTTGCAGTCAGTCACAGGTGCATGAGCTATTTGAATAATTTGTTCAATTCGACTCTCAAGCCACTCCCGTCGGTTCAACGTTACTGCCTTGTACGTCAAACTTAAGTTTAGGGCTGTATTTTATGTGAGAGGGGGTGTCAGAATTTACCAATTTTTACAGTGGAGGCAACTTGGCAGTACATTGTGACAAGCACGATTGTAACCACTTATTTAAGAAAAATGGCAACTTTAGTGCGTCAAAGTCAACGAATGATTACAGAAATTTTACAGGCTTTTTCATTACGACGCAAAAAGACAAATGTGTCAGTCCGGCGTCTATCCGTTGTTTGGCAAAGGATTGGTATTTTTGAACAGGTTCGACACGTGTTATGGACAGATAACTTCACAAATTTTATGTTCGCGTTTGACGTGAATTTTTATTACTTCAAAATAAAGCAGTTGACACAACAGCAACCAACTCATTCGTACTAACAAATATTGCAAGGCGATTCAGCACTTTCCACTCAGTCTTCTACTAGAGAGTCTTGACAACAACAAAACAAAAACTAATTAAAAAAAATTAAACTCACAAACTTTGTTTTTATCTACTAACAAGCTGCAAGGAGCTCTGCCTAACAGAGGTGATTAAATACGACTTTAGCTCAGGTGAATAAATTAAATATTTCGCTTAGGTGAATAAATAAAATATTTAGCTGAGTTACAGACACTGTCTTTAACCGTTTCTTTTCCTACCACCATAAAAACTGCTTTCCTTCTTCCGCCCCAGTCTCGGGTGGAACACATCACGGTACGCTTTAGTTGTAGGAGGATGAAACTATGAGTTTGGTGTTTAAAACCTGTACGTCTTAATGATATAACGGCAAGCTATTCTAAACTTTGCCCACATATATCTTGATTCACCAAATAAAAGAGTAAATGAGTATTGCTTTGCGAGAGCCCGGAGTTTTTTTTACTACAGTGGTTGACGCGAATACGTTTATGTTTATATTTATTTGCTCCGAATCACCCGCAACAGATGCACCAAATATATGTAGTGGTTCGACTGCGTCTCATCAGGTGAACGATTCTCGAGGTCTAAATATTTTGTTAACCCGATCATATGAGTAAAAATAGCGAAAAAGGCTGTCCTTATAATCCCGGAAATTTGCATAACAGTTAATTAGTGGATGTTAGGTTGTTGAGGTGAATATATGCCGGCAGAAGTCATAACAGCAGACTCACTAATGAATCGAACATATTTTATACTTCATTAGCGTGCATATGGCAATAGGTTGATCAAACTGGAATATGCTATTCTGCGGAATCTTCTGCTACGTGCATGATGCAGTGAACAATTGTTGCAATGCACAGGAGCGCGTTCGCAAAGTAGGCACGGTCAAGGTGTCAAGTTTGTTGGGCTTGCTTTGAGCCTCGACACGTAACCCCATCAAAACGTATTATAAACCTTCTACATTTCATGTTAAAAAAATACATGTGCATATCAATATGTCCTCTGGGACGTTTGAGAAGCAAAAGGCAAATGGAAAAACGCCAGAGTGTATTTCTTAATTTATCTACCTGCTGTAGCTTGGCCCAAATATAATTACCTTTACCGATTTGTTCTTACAGAGCGACTGTCGTCAAGTCCTACAGTGAATTTTACGCCAACCTCCTGAGCCAGAGTGCGGGCTATTGAGGGACCGGAACGTCCAGCGCGCTCATCAATATCGCCGATATTCCGCCTGAACGAACTGTCGTTCAAGTCTCTCTCGGCAACGAACAGCCCAAGATTAACGTATTCTTCCCATGATCCACTTTTCCACGTGTACATAGTGCTTTCATGCCTAAATGCTACTTTAAAAAAAAAGTGTTTTAAGAACACACGTGTCTGTTGTTTTCCACGCTCCAGAAGAACAGGCTTTATTCTAGCAAACGGGCGAAGTTTCACAAGGGCACCGTTTTTTCCAGCCAGTTTTTGATGATGGGATAGTATTTCGTCTGCCAAGTGTCCTGCATCTTTTTTTCTTCCTGAACTTGCTTGTAGCGCCATTCAGGAATCATGGTAGTCTTCTTGTTGTGCTTGTAAAACAAATGCAGCTGCAAGAGAAGAAAGGTGTTCATTCAAACTTTCAGGTACCCCTAAGGTCAATAGTTAAAACGCAAAACCTAACTGACTCTTAGCAGAAAGTCATTCCGTGATATTTAAAGGGTTGAATGGCATTACTGCTTATGAAAACCCCTTTCATGTGGACATTGACAGTGGTGCGGATCAAAGGAGGACCAATGAATAGGTACAAGACGAACACACTCATATTACTCGAGCGTACTAGCTGAGTAATAGAAATTATAAAGCACAACGTTTGTATCATTAGCATAATATTAAACAATACTATTATGTTTATTGCACAATAAACCAATACATCGCACGGTTGACGCCCGCAAGAGCACGAGCGTGGGTGTACGTTGCCAAAATAACCCGTAGTTAGAATTTCATAGAGCAAAATATTCCGGCATGCTACTGAAAACAATTAAAAGCTGCAGACAACAGTCATATAACGCCCGCAATCAACTTAGGAATCATAGTTATTACATCACTACTTTAAGTTCCCGCTTCAATACCATGAAGGATAAAATGAAACACTTGATCTGAAAATATGTTGTCATTTAGTTTAATCTGTGATATCTTTGCATGCGGGATGCCGTTTTAGTTGTCTCAAGATTGTTTGCATTTCTGGTGTTTTAAAAACCTGTTTTCAGAATAATAATAATACTAGATAAATGTTCAATCTTGCAAAAACAAATATCCAAAAAGACAGGTATTATTGTCAAATTTGTTAACTAATTTGTTTTTATGCATTTTATTGTTTTCTCTGTCGCGCAGAATATTGCCTATTTTTTAAGACTATTAAACAAGGATAAGAAGCAACTAAATTATTTTGTTATTTTAAACGTTAGAAAACGCTAAAATGTCGAGCCGGCCGGGGAAGGGGGGGGGGGGGGATAACATAGTGCCGGCCTTGATAGATATACTTTTAATTTTAGCGAACAAGTTCAGTAAAACCTAATAATTTACGGAGTAAATAAATTGGGAAAATAGTGCGTCATATTTAAAGAAGTAACGCAACTTTATATTTCCCCTCGAGAATACGGAGGGAATTAACTGCAACTTCTCCTCCTGGGACAATACCCTTATGGGCTTGTTTTATGCTCAGCAAAATATGGAATTTAATTGGTGTATTTTTAAGCATGAAACAACTTGTGCCGTATTCCTTAATGGTAAATCGCGTGGGGATGCTCAAACGTAAACAATGGTGCTAACAAAATATCTGCTAGTGAAACAAACCAACAAGGTATTAGCACCCGGTTAGAACAGCTCCTAAAGGAGTTTGTATAAAGCCTTCCAATTGAAGTCGACGTGAAGGCAAGCATATAAAAGAAAGCTCAAATTCAATAACTGAATGTGGCTAGTCATCCGAATACAACCAGAAAGCGTTTTTTCTTTCATGTCTTCCAGCGCTCTTGGTTGTTTGTTTTCCCAGTGGAACCAGGTTGGTATACTGTGTTGTACATTAAGATTACAGTTCAGTGGGAACTATGCGCTTGCCAAACCACTCAACTGTCCCTCTTTTATCGCCTGACTCCGCTTTGTGCTTCTTGGTATAGGCGAGAGCATGACGTACGTTGCGACAGATGATTATATTACTAGTCCATCGATTATGTAGCCTCCATCGTTCTGTCAGCTCAACGGTGAACGGAGTGGTAAGTGGAAAGCTGAAATGTTGGACTGACGTGGGCACTGCGAATTGACGTTGTCAATTGTTCAAGGTACTAAACTAGACGAACCAAAAATTGTAAACTTACCTCTTCTATATTGTCCGAGTGGCTAGCAGACTCGATGAAAGATTCCTCGATATGGAATAGAACTTCTGGCGATTGGAGATACCTGACATATAGGGTGCATGATTAGACCTACCCTTTGAAATACTTTGTTGTAATTCAATGGGAAACGGTGGTGATTTTATCTAGTTAACAAGAATTTTAAACTAAAAGTAACAATACACACCAATACGCGAATGGAGACAGAACAAACAATTTATTTATAGAGGGTACAAACTTTGTCGTCCTTGTATTTTGTGCGCTTCATTTGTAATTTTGAAACTCTATGCTATAGTGTGACAAACATTCCAGAGTCCGTTTGGTATTCTTCAGGCACGTAGCCAGGAGGGTGGCCCAAGGGGCCCGCCCTTCCCCCGCCCCCTCTCCAGAAATGCTCAGTTTTGCTGGGATTTCTGTCCTTCTTCCCCCATCTATGATATTTTGCAAGGGGCACCTCCCGCGCCCCCTCCCTAAATGAAATCCTGGTTACGTGGCTGCTGTTCTTAATTATATGTTTTGTAAAACAATGGCTATCTTTCCAGACTAATAACTATCTACTGTGCTTATGGCTTTCTTGTAAAGCTGCGACTCCACGCCGGCAGCCCCAAGATTGCGACAATATTTTTTTTATTTGTAAACAATTCTGTGGAAAATTAGCGCAGAATAAATTACTGTATCAGAGAAGCTACTTCATATAATTTAAAATTTCTACAAGATGCGTTCATACTAATTATCTGCTACTTCAAAGAATAGCTGCCGCGATGGCGCAGTCTTTTGTGATATGACTGTTCTAATTTGTGACCTTAAGCTTTCATGCTCTACGATTGCTAGCGCGCAAATGTGCACAATGCCTCACGGGCATCATAAAAAAAATTTAAACTGATACCTAGATGATATTAAGAAAGAAGTTTGTCTGGTACCGCAAACGTTATTTTTTAAAACACAAATTGTATTATAGGGTTGGTTTTGGCATTACGATTGTTAGGGTCGCTATATAAAAAAGGAAGCACCCTAATGTTTGAGAGAACGGTTTCCCCTGTAATTTAACGGAATAATGTTATGCACTCAGTCCTTATATATTTGTGTGAGTTTATGTGCGAAAAACCTACGACAATACTAACCAAGACACACACATACGCACAGTATATACGAAGTGAGAAAAAAATGCGGACTGTTACAATATTATTTAATATGTAAAGTTAAGGTGACTACTCTTTTTATAAAAATTATTGTCCATTATGAAAGGTATTTTAGGTGCATTCAACAAAAAGCAGATATTTTAACCTTTTAGGAAGGGGAACGCTTTATACGTACCACATTTATAATTTTGTCATCTCTATCTGCTTAGTAAAAACTTCGCAAATTATTTGTTTATAAATTACGAAGACAACTGGCCGCGAAGACGATAGTTTCGAAGATGTTTAACTTACGAAATAATTAAATCAATATTGTCGGACTTAAATAGATAGTATTTATACGTTTACAGAAATAGGCAGATATTTTTAGCTTATCGTTTTATAATAGGAATAATATGCTCGCATAAGCTGTGTATGCTTGCCGCGAGATTACGGTTATAAGAAAAAACAGCAGCACAAAAAAAGATATAACGGAAGAGTCAATGAATACAAAGTGTGCGCAAGAAACAAATTGCAATTGCAGTATATTTGATGAACGTAGAAAGCGCATTTAGCAGAGTCAATTAGACAAATATTAAAAGAACAGTAAAATCAGAATTCAAATATTGTGCAGGATCACTTCATTAAAAAAATTCTTGAGCGTTTACTTTTTCGTAATCCAGTTAGGAGAGTCAATTGCTGCAATAAATTAAGGAACGTTGGTGAATAACAGGGCTGTATGTAAGTTCAGGAATAAAGGAAGCGTTCTGGCACGGCAACACTGAACCCAACCTTTAACCATGCTCAGTGTGCAAGCTCAGACTAATATTTGTGAGGTCTAAACATATTTTTGCCTTGTCATTCACCGAGCCGCAACCGCTGATTGCAGGAATTCACTTACATAAGTCGTTGCCGAAAAGTTTACTCTCCAGATTTCTTAGGGTGTCGACAAATCTGACTATTCCGTGTCTTGGTGCAGTGCTGTGCTTTTAACGTTGCATCATGCTGTCACGCTTGTTCACACCAGACAGAGCTTCAGATTGACTAATAAAAACACCTTTGACCAATCGCTACTTTACCTCTGGTGAATAGACGGCCACTGAGAACGGAGGAACTTAAAAGCCACTGCTTTGCCGTCATGGTTCGTGGATAGAGAGCTCAGCAGAGAGGGCACGTCCTCGGTCCGGATCTCCGACTTTGGCAAAAGGACGGACCGCATGTAGCTGCATGTGAAACGTCACCGATCTTTTATGCAACGGGCATCCTAGCTGCCATTTTATGAGTGTAACAGGTGAAGTCCATTGTAATCGAAACCCCGAGACAACGCCACACAAAACAGTATTCTCTGTTAGATTATTTTAATTTTCTGAGAATTATGAATATGATTTTGTCCCAATAGATCGCCCGTTTGCTTTATCTTATTTTATTCAATTCGTTTGTTTATACCCTCTAATCTTTTTTTTAAATCCACTTGATTGCTATGCAATAAAAACTTAAACGTCTTGACGTGCACCCAAACGCATATTTGAAGTTTCAATATTTGTCTGAACTACCAAGATGCATGATTATTTCTTCAGTTTTCTAATCTATTTCACTTGTTTGCAAGATCGATATTTAAAGAAAGACGTCCAATCAAGCAACAATTCTGAGGGACCAATCCTACTTGGACTCTTCAGGGACCTTATAGCTATGGCCATTGAGGCAAAATATTGTGTATTTTTTTTTCTTTTTCTTTGGGAGTGTTTCTGCAATTGTATTAGGGATATTGCGAAGACTTTTGACGCTTGCCGTTGGCGAGGTGCCAACAGACTATTAATTGTTTTTGGCATAGATTAAATGCGACAATATTGTAAGAAAATCTGAATCAGGAGTCAGGCTGGGCGTT